GACCTGTTGATGTGTGGCCCTCAGACCTTTTATCTATTGTTTATTATCTAGAAATGCAACAGCAAGATAAAAGCGAGTGTATCACCATAATGTGCTAGAGCTGCACCGAACAGTTCGAAGCTTCCTTCGTAGCGTTGACATCTGAATTCTAAATCAAGATTCAAATTGCTTCAAAAATTCAATTAACACTTCCAATGTAATAAAATTAAACAGACATTCGGTACAGCTCTAGAATACATTTGTGAACTTTTTTTTTTTCGACCTCTCTGCTCTTAAAACTCTTGATTTTGGATCCTGTGAAATCAGATATGATCAGAAACATTCAGAAGGTCTATATCACTGACTTGAACATGACACATTTGACAGCGTTCACAAGTCCCGCCCCCTGCTGGACCCCCTACCTTGCTGGAAGATGGACAGCGTTACCGACGTCACCAGCTCAAACAGAGCCTTGATGGGTGGGAAGTGGTCCGTCTCACTGGCAAAGATGTGCACCATCTGAAACACAGCAGGACGTCACATCAGACACTCAAGAAACCAGGCTGCTGGAAACCATAGGACGTCTTTACGTGCACTGCAGAAACCTGATTACTGTGTGTTTACATGCAGCTGGTTAGCACCAGATATCTTCCGTACTACCGCTCCCCATGTTTCTAAAATAGGTCTAGTATGTTGCGAGTATTTCGGTGATTTATGATGCTGCAGCCTGCAGAGTTTGTGTTATTTTTTTGTTGTTGTTGTAGCATTTGGACTGACGGCGTTGTGAGAAAGACAAGCTTTGTAGTGAGAGCAGTTTATTCACAAATGTGTCTGTGAGCTGTGGGAACAGACTTTTATTATAGCGACTTTGGATTGAATTAATCTTAATTGCTAATTAATTGCTGAGATCAACCGCTACAATAAATCAGGTCTCTTTAGCAAAAATCGACCTGTGTTTAACCTGGATTCTTATTTTCTCATGTTTATGTGCCTAAGTGACTAATGTGGGACAACAATCTTTGAATTTTGTCCGGTATCGAGGGAGAACATTGCAGACAGCAGCCGCTAAACAAGCTGCGATGTAATCGCTCGAGGTAACTCCTCACCGTCAATGTAGGTCCACTTAAAGTCCTTTCTGCCGCTGACCGACTCAGATTGTTATTGTAAGTGTCTGACAACATCAAGGAAAGAACCCTGCAGAGATATAAAAGCTTTGGATTGAGAAATGAGCACTTTTAGCAGATGTGCTTTTGAAGGTGAGGAGTTGCCTCGAGTGATTACATAGTAACCCGTTTAGCAGCTGCCGGCTGCAGCGTTCTCCCTCAATACTGGACCAATTTTTTAAGAATTGTTGTCCCAAAAAGTCACTTAAGACACAAAAACATGGGGATATAAGGTTCATCAGGTGTCACTGGTGCTCAGCTGATGAGCTCGTAAAAAAAATCTATAAAATCTCTCTTCAGGTATGTATTAAAGGAAGAATACTAATGTGTGTTCGTGCACATGTATGCGTGTGTACCTGTCGCGTGAGGTCCAGGGCTGGGGCCTGGGGGATCGTACTGTACATCTGTCCGAGCATCTCGCTGAGCTGAGACACCATGGGAGCGAAGTCGTGGAGCAGAGTCTTCACCGACTTCTCGAAGATGGCGCACACCGCCTGAAGGGACGACGCGAGAGATCAGCTATACTTGAAATGTCATATCCGATCACGTGGACTGATTTCTTACAAAGAGCAGAGAGGTCTGACAGTATGTGGATGAACACGCCGATGACTCACCTCTACAACCTGCGAGTCATTGAGCCACTTGCTGAGCACAGTCTGAATGAGCGCAAACACTTGTTGCAAAACCACCACCACCTGGACAACACAAAGGAATGAATAGAAAGTCACACACAAGCAGTAGCATTTACTCATGAGTGCATGCCTATCAGCAGAATTACTAATGACTATGGTTCAGTGACATCCCTCCAACCAGCATTAGCTGTGAGCACCATGTGCCCCACTACCATTCACAACTACCACACTGCAGCTTTAAAGTCTTTAAATGGAACACATGGTCAGCATCTATCATCTATCATCCATAGATTCACCCCACTGATGGCAATGATGATGATGATGGTGTGCGCGTGTGTGTGGCGACTGACTGGGTTTGGTCCAGGCGGAGGCGGTGCTGTTTTGACAGGTGGCGCTGAGCCGTCTGCTGACTCGTCGTCCTGCTTGCTGATGTCGAGCGTCGTGAAGAGGTTGGACAGCAGCCCCAAGATGTGGATGATTGCTAACTTATTGGAGGGATTAGGCTGAAAGAGGAAAGAAAAGGGGAGAAGAGACGGATCGTTATATTTAGGAATTCTACAAACCAACCCCAATATCTCTGGATCATTTAGTGCCCGACTTGGGATAAAAAAATATGTAATATACATTTAAATTATTAAAAAATATTTAACCTCACTCTAAAACACAAAACAACACAGAAGTCAATGGAAAGGTATTCAGCAGACAGAAGGAAAGGCTCCTTCTCATACCAGTTTGCACACGCGCACGCACGCACGCACGCACGCACGCACACACAAATCAATCAATAATTAGGTTTTCACTAGCGGTGTTGAATCAAAGCTCTGTCTTCATGGTGGTGATGTAACAGAAAAACAAGTCTTACGTCCACATCTCTCATCCGAGTTGATACTGTTAACTGTACAGTCTCTCTACAACAACAGTGTACGCGCCCACTTCACATGAAGAAGTGACTCCGTATCGGTGTTTACAGTCGGGCCCCGTCAAGACACCATCACGGTCATTCACCCATGATGTAATGTAACCTGAAGGTCTCCCCACTAGGTGCCACTATTTGTCCGGCTCCAGACACAGCACCTGATTTGCTAGTCTGACGTAATGCCGATCAAAAAGCTGGACGGAACATAAATTGAGCGAGGGAGGAAGTCGGAGACGGTGTGACCGTGTGCAGGGTGAGACGGGGACAGCTTCATCTCACCTGACATCTCTATTCACCCCACCTTCAGTCTCTAACAAGGGATCTTTGTTCCACATATAGCAGACATCAAACTGTGTATTTTTAGATAATATCCGCTCCACATTTGTCCCAACCAGCGTGACAGTCTAAAAACCTCAACTCTAATAGAACTGACACTTCAACAGGGATAAAGAATGTTTTGTGTGCGTGCACATGTGAAAACATGACCTACTGTCAGTGGGTCTGTGCAGGCAATTTCTTTTCTTCTCGGCTCAATTTGTCCCCCTCTCTAGTTGCAGTGGTGTGTGTGTGTGTGTGTGTGTGTGTGTGTGTGTGCTTGCATGAGTGAGAGAAAAGTGTGTCTTTGCTAATTCCTTGTGAGTCACTAGCCCATGTTGCAGGGTCAAATCCAATCTGGTCCCGCAGAGAAATGTTCCACTGCAGTGACACCACACGGAAACAAGGCCTGTTCCTATTGGCCAGAGTCCAGCTCTGCCTGCTCTGTGTGTGTGTGTGTGTGTGTGTGTGTGTGATGTTGTTACATGTTGGTCTGTGTACGCACCGTCTCATCTGCTAGCTTCTCCAGTTGCTGAATGTAAGGGGTGATGAGAGAGTGAAGGTTTCTTAGGATTTCTTCCACGGGGAGAGCAGAGAGCAGGAAGCCGAGCGCCTGCATCAGCCACATGCACTGACTCGTCTGCAAAAAAGAAAAGAAATGGATGAAGGTTTAGCTTCCGTTTCAAGCAAGCAGTGAGCTTAAATCATCCCTGTGCACCTCTGTGTCCGTCCACGACTAATCTCACGTTCTACTTCAGCAAACAGCGTAACAGTTTGGGTGGTCAGTTACGGCCGCGTGCTCGAGGACCTCTCATGGTTCCAGTGACTCACACTTTTGCCTAAAAAATAAAATCTTTATTGCCTGTTTTATACTGCTATAAACTGCCTGCTGACTCCTCACTCACTAGCATGAAGGGGCCACGAGGGATGACACAGCTGAGTCCATCCTCGCTCAAGCCGCTGCTCTGCGCCCAGAGACACAGTTAGAGGAGACGGCTAACGGAACTACCAGCGCACACACTGCTGAGTGCATCGCCGCCACTTACCGCCGCTCATTCAATCACACAATATAACAGTGGTCATTGCAGACACACCTGGCGGAGATTTGCACTCTACTGAATACACCTTTTTAGTTTTTCAAGATGTTTCACTGCACTGCAACCTGAAATCATGTTATACATATTCTTTCTCAGCCGTTCTTATTTAAATGTCAACTGAGTGGCAAAAAAATGAAGTGGATGTGAAAGAACACACACTGACCTTGTGGATCTGCTTTATAAGCACCTCCTGGAGAGAGAAAGTCAGAGTGAAGGTTATGCTATTTTTAAAGCACCACAGAACCGACCCAAATTAGCAATAAAAAGGAAAAACAAATAATACAACTGATGGGATTTCAAAGAGAAATGTTATTTCTGGAGAGCAGGAACATCACAAAAGTCTGCAACGTACAAAGACGTACGAGGGCCATCGGTAACAAAGATATCTAATATTATATTGGTACGGATGGCCTCTGAGCGAGGCGAAGGTCCCGAAAGAAACATAAATAAGTTTTCTTACATATTCTTTCTGTTATTTTATGAACATAAATAAATACTGATGTAATTTATATATTTTGCACTCGGCAGCTAGCGAGAAAATTTGTCTTTCTTGCAGATTTATGACATAAATCTCAATTTCTGAGACTTTTCTTGCAATTTCAGACTTTATAATCTCAGAGAATGTTCCCCGGCTTCGTACCTACAATACCCGAATAAGCTTTCGTATTCCTTTGCCTTTAAAGTCAAAACAAAACAAAACAAAACATTGATTGCTTTTGGCTCTCATACGTGATCAACTGAGTGAAAATGGCAAAAAAAGGAGATTTACATGTACACAGCACACGTACCTGAGAGACAGCTACTATGTTGGTTGCGTAGGGCGGCAGGTCATATTTGCATTCCCTACAAATTTTCTTGAGCGTAGAGACAGAAGAAACAGAGAGGTCTGGGTTCCCCAAAGCCTGCAGCACCAACGGCAGGACACTGCTGAGCATCACTGGGTGGTCTGCCAACCATTCAGCCAAAGCACCTAGCGGGAGATTACCAGTTCAGATACTGAATGAGATCCCCCCCCGTGTTGTCTTTATGATCGCTATGATAACACTAAATGTGTTTGAACTTTTGTGACGTGTGCGGAGATCCTTTTAATCTCACCTATAGTGAACATCACCGTGTCTGCTAGTTGGACGTTGTTGATGTTGATTCTGGGGATGAGGCCTATCAGGCCCGGGATGACGTCGGAGTAATTCACATCTATCGTCTCTGCTATGGACTGGAAGCCGTACAGTAAGGCTTCTGTGTGCTGGAGGAGGAGGAGACCAGGTGATGAGTATGACATTTCAGAAACAGTTGGAGCTAAAGTACTTTCTGAATTTTTCATCTTCACCATTGATGTAGAAAAGAAAAGTAGAAGAGATGCTGTGTTGTGTACCCATGCTGCAAATATGGGTACTGATTTTTAAATGTATTACTCAGTTGGTTTTAATTCTTAATCTCATTTTAATGAGTTTTCAATGTTCATTCTATGTGCATTGTCCCTTATTATAAAGCACTTTGTGCTGCTTTCTTGTATGAAAGGCGCTAAATTATTAAATTTATTTTTACTATTAGCAAAGTTTGTGATAAAAAATTGAGTTTGAGTTGAAAAGAAAATAACCCAAATCAACATAAAAAGGGTTTAAATCCTGTAAATATATACTCTTAGGTTTTCTTGAGGTTTATTTTAATATAAGAGAGTAGACTTACAAGCTAAAAATAAATACCGGTGCTGAAAAACTCAAATCTGGTATAACACATATTCAGTACTGGCTTTTGTGCAACACTCGGAGAAGACACAAAATAGTTTTTGTGCTCGTCTGTGTACGTCTCACCCACCTGCCATGATGTGGGCGGCTCCGCATTAGTCAACAGTCTCCCGAGTTTATCATACAGGTTACTCAGCAGCTCTGCTCCCAGCATCTCGTACACGTACATGAGTGTGTCGGAGATATCCACCCTGAAGGACAGATGTGCACAAGCAGACATTTTAGGAGCATGCAACCTTGGAACATTATGTGCTAATCTTTTTGTCAGACAGGTTTTTGCCCTCTCAGCTGCCAGTCCAGTGAGAGTCTATTAGAGGAAAGCACACTCACATGCTGACCAATCAGAGAGTCATTTTCTGAAGCACTCAGACTGTCACTGAAACACTCAACAGTGTGCAGCAGAAATAGGCATGTAGAGAAACACAGGGACACAAACCTGTAGATCCTGAATTGCTCTTTCTCGTCGGAGGACCAGGATGCGTACTCCTGGTCAGTGGGGAACTGGGCTTTGTGGAGCAGAACATCCACTAGCTGGAAATATACCGGCCTGTAGACCTGCAGGTACACGGCCTGCTTATCCGACTCAAATGACATTATCTCATCCTGAGGAAGAAGGAAGGAGAGGAAAAAGAAATAGCTTTTAGTGTGGAACATAAAATTATTCTAAAGCCAGAGAATATCTCTTACGACTCACAGAGGCTATAAACAGACACACAAAGGTTGTAAAATAACAGCCGCCACCAGACAAATGCAGGTCAATTTGGTCGGTGGTGGGTTAATTTGATCAACCTACCAGTTACGATGGTGGGTAAACAAACGGGGCATTTAACAAACGATTGAATCGTTACTCGTAAAAGTCAATTCAATCATCAGGTGCCGTAGCAGAGCAGAGCAGAGAGCAGTCTGGTGGAATCACAAGCGTTGTCTAGATTGGCCGTAATCAGCTCCAGTGACCAGTGGCAGCATGGGAGCTGCAACTGATGGAATCGTGTTGCTACGAGGCTACCAGCTATAGCGGCTGCTGTCAGGTGACAGTTAGTTATGTCTCCTCCTGTATCTTGTATTTTGTGGACGGTTTTATGTGTTTAGTAACGACGAGGCTAGAGGAAGAAGTAGGTATATCATGCCAGTTGAAAAACTTGCAGTACTATCTATTTGTCAAAGTATCACAACTTCACTTCAACGTTACGATGGGATAATTAGTGGTGTTAACGGACCACTGTTGATCCGTACGGATCCCCCCTCGCGGTTCGGCGCGGATTAATTACACTGTTTAGCGTTAACCACCGCAGTGTGAAATAAAGTTTTACTGACGATCGTTATCCGTCGATATTCAGTAAAATATGCAATCAAGACATCAGCATTTACGCTTTTCTAGTCGCCGATCTGATGTTACATTGTAAACAACCAATCCGTGTTCAAACCGACAGGAGAACAAAGGTTACCTTCAGTTACATAGTGATGCGTTCAGGCTCTGTTCAGTGAAAATGAGTAGTGGACGAAGGTAAATTGTAACGTTATCATGATGTGTTCACATGTAATCTCGTAAAGTGTAGTTTTCCAAATAAATCCAGTTGTTTGAAGATGTTTTCACAACAGAAATAGATATTAGAGATGAATTATGAGCTGTTTACACAAAGCTCTAAGCAGCTTATAATACATCATTGAAACGACTCATGACTAGATTAGTTTTAATCCTAAAAACAAACAACATAAAAGGAAAACATTTTGAATTTTTTATGGTTCACACAGACTTCAGAGCAGTTGAAAGGATTTTAGGGACAGTGGCAAAAAAAAAAAAGAAATAGTCTTGAGCCTTGTAGACCAGCTGCTATAATCAAACAACAATATGGATCAGCAATGATCGGCGGAAAAAATTATCGGTTGCACCACTACTTACTTGTAGCGTATACCAGAAGGTGAGTGTGAGCGAGCTGGTGGTCTCATTGACCGGGTAGTGGCCGGGGATGCCTGTACAAAACATGATCATGTTGACTAAAGCCAGGAAGCTCTGCCAGTGATCCACCTGCTCCAACAGAGTCCTAAAGAGAGAAAGATGGATGGATGGATGATGGAGAAAGAGAAAAAGTTTTAATTGGCAGCTAACCTTAAGCCCTTCACAGCAGAGGGTATTGTCTTTATTTGTCTCTCTGTGTCATTTAATCAAGAGACACAGCAACACATGAGACTGCACACAGAATATTGCTCGACTTGTTTCAGTGCAAAGTAATGTTAAGAAACCTGTTTCTCTCCTATGTTGTTGAGATTGTATTTTCTGATTGTATTGGCTAAAACACGTTATGTGTTGCCTTCAATATCATTGAATTATTGATGTTTTAATACTATCCCAACACTGGACGAGTATTGAGTCATGTATCATTTTGGCCAAAACAAATGCACTATAAAATCTTGACATTGTAACAGGCCTACCGAAAGGAAAAAGAAGCACGCACGCACACACACACACACACACACACACACACACACACACACACACACAC